GAACAAGTGTCTTTGGGTCTTAACCATCGACGATATCAAACCAGTGCGCGAAGCGTATTATGAAATGTCTCTTAAAAAGAGGGTCGAGTGGTGGATGCAAACCTTGGACAATTTCACTGTCCTCGACGGTGGTCTGGAAAGAGTGCAACCAGTGTAGTGCAAGCGTCGTGTGTGCATCGCCGGTTGGTGTAAAATAATTGGGATATGTCGAAACACATACCGTCGTTATAGCAAGTGCAAGTCAGACGGGGTAGTCGTTGGCCGGCATCGTCGATGGGGATTGTTGAACCCAAGACCGGAGTATGTGACCATGAGGGTTCCTGTAACAAGGTTCGTGGAATAACATGGAGGTGCTATGCCTAACGACATGGTTGTGAGGGGGACCTCGCAAAGACCTAAAGTCAGGCTCCCTGCTTATTTTATGAAGCTCCTTGTCCACGAGTCCATCAAGGCGGACTTGCTAGCAGCGGGTCAGAACGTCGTTTCGGAGCAAGTCTTCTACTCCATATGGAGGACGTACTTGTGGCATGCCATCCTTGCCAAATCCAACTCGTTCACAAAGTGTGGCGAGTACGTCCGCCTTAGACAGGCCAGATATAACGCCCTTCGCCTTTGTGACCGTAACGATTTCGATGAAAAGCACCGCAAACACCAACTAGATCAGGTCGCTTACCGTGTGGATTACGCTGACTGGAAACTTCGTTCCATTTTGAACCTCGCGGAATACCTCTATCTTATAGTGGATGGAATGGATCAGAAAAAGACAATCATTCCTCACATCGGTATGTATAATTACTCTAAGGATCATCGACACCACATGATGATGAAAACGAACCTCACCGTAGTTGTAGGTCACGGCAGGAAACCGTCGATTTATGTTTACACATATTTACCTTTCTATGCGCACGGTTCCGATGACACCATGGCGTGTGTTATGCGGACTCTATGTGAGTTGCAGGCGTCGGGACAGAAATGGTCACGCCACCTCCGAATCTAGGCGGACAACTGTTGGAGGGAAAACAAAAACCAATACCTTATGTGCTTGGCCTCACTTCTCGTGAAATTCGGGATTTTCGAAGATGTCAAAGTGCGGTTCGTGCTCGTTGGCCACACACATACCGACATAGACGCCACTTTTAGTGTTTTCTCTAAAAAGTTGAAGGACAACGATGCTTACGCCATGAAGCAGTTGTTCTCGCTTATCGAGTCGTCACACAAGATGTTGCCGAAGTGCATTGAGCTCGATCGCATTGCCGATTGGCGTGGGGTAGAGGATCGATACGTCGACAAAAGCATCATCGGCATGTGAAAACCACATCTCCTCAAATTCTTCATGCGGGACGGTAGTCCCGTCATGGTGTACAAAAAGTACTGCACCGATGCGGAATGGAAGTCGGGAGGTAGACCAATTCACTTGTTCCCAGTTGTGGATGAAGAGTATGCAAGCCCTACCTCCCCTCCACAACTATGTGTTATTCCCCGTGTCGTTAAAGATGATTTTCGGATGGCTCGTGTCAGTGTCCAAAAATTACTTGACGTCCTCGAACAGCACATACACATGTAGCAGACATCTGGGAAGGAGGAGGTCGAAAAACGGGAGGATGCTTTGTCTTACTGGAAAGCCATATTCGTCGAGGCGGACGATATAATGCAAGAGGAAAAGAAGAAGGGGACGAAAGAGGGTGAGGAAGAGGATGTCCTCGACACGGATGAGGCCGAGATCTATCCTCACACCTTCTGGCCAGAATCAGTCGAAACTGTGGTCGAAGTTCAAGAAATCGACCCTCCTTCGCCAGAGGCTTTGCTTATATATGTAGGACCGAGGGCGGGCCGTCCAAAAGTGGACTTCGACCCCCGACGCCATATAAACAAAGGTGATTTTGTGATTGTCAGGCCATCCGATGAGGAAGTGTCTCAAGGTGTCCCATTCTGAGTAGGAAGGGCACAGTCTGAGGTTGTCGACGACCGTTCCTCTCTATATTTTGGTTGTTTATGTATACAGTGGTGAGTGCCTACATGTCACTCGTCCGATCTTCGTCAAAGGTACTCCGGCGCTTGGACGAAGAGGTGAAAACTTTCCACTTCAGACGAGGAACAATGGCAACGAGTCGAAACCGTGGATTATTCTTGGAGAAGACCCTTCCGCAAAGGAACGGATGAAAGCAAATTCGTGAAAGGCCTTACAATATCGGCATCCGTCTGCGAGAAAGCACTTGTTGCCCTTGGGGACGACTGTCTTTCCGGTCCGTCCGACATGCCCGTTTAGTTAAATATGAATTGCTTCGGATTTGTTAGCTACGAACGCCGCAAAGATAATGACGAGACGTTAACTGCGAACTAATTCCGATTTCTTGTCCTGCAGGATGGATGACGACGGCGCACCATTGTGCGACGTTGTAAACGAGACAACAATACACATTTCGTAAAAAATGAACTTTTTGTCAAAAAGTGAACTATTTCGACTCCGAATAAACACTCAGTACATGGCCCAATAGGGCATCATGCGACACTTTAAGTGAGGATAAATGGTCAGTATATGAGGTGTTGACATGGCAAATGTTGCAGTGGGCGTTTTTAGCCCTTCGTACATGAATAGTCGTTATCAAATGCGAATTAACACCTAAGTGTAAAAAAGGGTAGAGGTTGTTTTCCATAAAAGGTCCGGGGTCCGGCGCTCGACACCTTGCAAGTTGGACTGAACCTGTCAACTATAGTAGGGCGGAACACCCAGCCTGGTGCACGACATTTGGCAAGTTGCCCGTCAGTACCCCTGCAACAAATGTGTCCACCATTTATCTTCCCGGAAGGACCTCCTTCTCCGGTTGACAGATAGTAGTTGAACACCGAATGATTCGGGAGTTAGTGGTGTTCGACATAGCATGTTAAGGAAGTGGCAAACAGTCGTCCGCTCTCAATGCCGATTGCCAATAGCACTTTTAGAGGGCCTTGATGCTGGTTCCTGATCTGTTTGGCGATCGAGCAACTAGAAGAAGTGTGAAAGAGTCATTGGTTGTCTGTGTGGATTGTCATTAGCACTCTTAGGGAATGCGAGATCTGATTCTGGGTCGTGAGAGAGAGAGAGACAGAGAGAGAGAGAGAGAGAGAGAGAGAGAGAGAGAGAGAGAGAGAGAGAGAGAGAGCGAGAAAGAGAAAGGCATTGACAAAGCAGATATCGGTTTGGTGACTGAGCACCTTCAACAAGTGCCAAACAGTCGTGCGGATGACCACACACTCTAAGGGAACCTTGATGCTGGGTGTGGATTTGCTTGTCGCGGGTTAGCAGTTGCTGGGCAGACATCGTGCGGATGACCACGCACTCTAAGGGAACCTGGATGCTGGGTGTGGATTTGCTTGCCGCAGGTTAGCAGTTGCTGGGCAGTCTTGGATGCTGAAGTCCGCCACCGGGGGAAGGTTTGATGGTCTGTGGTGGGACTTCCTGTTGGATTTGGATCTATTTCGAGCAGAGTTTCGCACTCAAGAAACAGAATTGAACTCCAGATCCCGCAGGTTAGCAGTTCTTGGACATTGCTTGTTGTGTTCTCAGGGTACACACCACAAGTCGGAGTGAACTCTCATTTAGATGGACAACATGAACGCACACCACTGGCTTAGTGTTGCTGTGACAGACAATACACGATTCAAAATGGCATCCTGTTGGGTATGTGGTGCCTGTTTTCCATAAAAGGTCAGGGGTCTGGCGCCCGACACCTTGCAAGTTGATGGACTGAACCTGTCAACTGTGGTCGGGCGGAACACCCAGCCTGGTGCACGACATTTGGCAACTTGAACCCGCAACCCGTCAGTACCCCTAGGACCTCCTTCTCTGGTTGACAGATAGTAGTTGAACACCAAATGATTTGGGAGTTAGCGGTGTTCGATAGAGCACCTTAAGAAAGTGGCAAATAGTCGTTCGCTCTCGATGCCGATTGCCAATAGCAGTGTTCGTGAGAGAGAGAGAGAGAGAGAGAGAGAGAGAGAGAGAGAGAGAGAGAGAGAGAGAGAGAGAGAGAGAGAGAGAGAGAGAGAGAGAGAGNAGAGAGAGAGAGAGAGAGAGAGAGAGAGAGAGAGAGAGAGAGAGAGAGAGAGAGAGAGAGACAGAGAGAGAGAGACAGAGAGAGAGAGAGAGAGAAAGAGAGAGAGAGAGAGAGGGAGAGAGAGAGTTCCTTGCTTTAACCTGGAAAGACATTGTCAGATACTAGTTGAATAGCGAATCAATTCGCAGATATCGGTTTGGTGACTGAGCACCTTTAACAAGTGTCAAACAGTCGTTGGCTGTCTGTGCGGATGACCACGCACTCTAAGGGAACCTTGGTCTGTGGTGGGACTTCTTGTGTGATTTTGATCTGTTTCGAGCAGAGTTTCGCACTCAAGAAATAGAATTAAACTCCAGATCCCGCAGGTTATCAGTTCTTGGACATTTGCATAGACAACTAGCGGATTGCTCGAGGTACACACCACAAGTCGGAGTGAACTCTCATTTAAATGGACAACATGAACGCACACCATCAGCGCGGTGATACAATACGGATGCTGGCTTGTCGTTTGCACGCACAAATCAATAACATAGATTCCAAACATTCACTCTTGTCATCGCAAACATCGATCTCCTCCTTGACAAAAGCATGTATAGGACTGTAAGACATTGGCATGAACATCGGAGATCGAAACACTTGTAAGGTCATCGGCGTATCATTTCTTTGCATGCACAAGATACATAACATCCATTCAGAACATTTACTCTTGTCACCGCAACGTCGAGATGGAAACACTCGTAACTTGCATAGTCTTTTTCTAACATTGCACCTTCGTAGATGGAAACACCGCACGCAGAGTTGCGAGAAATGTTCATATTATTGAACGACTTATTGCAAAGTAGACAGGGGTTGTTTCCGAAAAAACATTCGAAGCAAAAAATAAGTAGTAGACAGAGGTTGGAGAGACAATAGTTGCAAATGGTGCAAGAGGCAACGTGTATGAAGTAGTAGATAGAGGTGCGAGAGGCAATAGTTGCAATAGGTGCGAGAGGCAACGTGTGATTGACTGCATATCCACCATTTCAAGGTGCACATGCACATGCACATCATGTTCCAAAAGATTGTATTTTAACATGTTTTCCCTTAAACACAAGGTCTGACCACACGTCCGTATCTTGTGACATACGGGGTTTCTCGCGGACGAGGTCGTGAACCGAAACCATACATGGCATTCATAGATGATCCATATACGTGGCTCTGCGGTTCGTGGACAGTTGCAKTCTCCGAAAACACGGACATGTATTTCATCCTGACAAACCCTCCTCGTCGTGCTAAGGAATTCCCTATAAAGTCTCGTATTACGGACACTTTCTCTTCCACCTCGTAAAACAATTCTAAACATCTGACCTGACCTACTCTCACGAAATTTGACCTCCCATCTATATCAGGGCGAGATATCACCGGCTTGAATTTGTAATCATGTTGTACCATCTCGTTCCGTGACACGAGCACAACTGCATCCACGAGTTTTTTACTTTTGTCTGAAGAAGCCACACATAGCACTTTGGCGAAAGGACATCCGTCATTCGTCAACTGCACACAACAATATGATATAGCTCGTGGAGAAGTCCCTAGGCAACGGGGTGGGTAGTGTTCCAAGAATGAACAATGACGGGCGCAGTCCACCAACTCTTGCTTCTCCGAACTTCCCCAAGTTCGTGGCGAAGATGTGATGTACTCGCAGTGGAGGCGACGTCTGAAGCTGGTACGGTAGCGGATCGGTTTACCCTTATCGTCCAGGGTCTTTCGTTGGAGGACACCATCAGGTAGTGCAATGAGGCTCCCAAACTCTAACATGTTGGCAAACTTGTAATGGCTTGCCCAAGGGCAGCCACGCTCCATCGCCTTCCAATCATTATCGTTCCATTCATCGAGATGTCGGTTCATGTACGGGACGACGGTCATCCATGGGTCCTCGTCAAAGTCCTTGTTGGCTGCTTCGCCGATCCACGTTTGACCGTCATGATGCCGCACCGATCTCACACAAGGTGAAAACGGTTTTGCTAAGTGCATGTGCTTCTCGGGACTCAAGCGCATGTGCGTCTCGGGACTCATGTTGACGCTTGTCGAAGGTCTCGATGACATTACGCTCCCTACACATCACAGACACACAAACGACACATACGGACGTGTAGACCGTCGTAAATAAAGTTGGCCAATGATAAGTCCCCTGGTGCGGCCAACACTCAATCGTCACGCCCCGCACTATATATCGACAAGCTCCTCACTTAATCAAAGTGCGAGTGAACTCTCACTTAAGCAAAGTGCGAGTGAACTCTCACTTAAGTCTGACCACACGTCCAGATCTAGTGACATCCGGGGTTCCTCGAGGTCGAGGTCATGTACCGAAGCCATACAAAGCATTCATTGATGATCCATACACGAAGATCTACGGTTCGTCGACTGATACACTCTTCGAAAAGACGGACATGTATTCCATCCTGACAAACACTCCCGGTCGTGCTAAGGAATTCCCTATACAGTCCCGTATGTCAGACACTTTCTCCTCAACCTCACGCGACAACGAAAAGTTTTGGACCCGCCCTGCTATCACCAAATCTCGCCACCCATCTACACGCGCAGGCCCGGGCGTCGGCACGAATTTGGACCCCTCAATTACCACCTCGTTGCGTGATACAAGCACAATTGCAGCGACAAGTTTCCTGCTCTTGTTCGAAGCAGCGACACATAGAACTCTGGCGAAATCAGACCCGGACACAGTCAATCGCACACAACAGTATGACACAACTTGTGGAGAATTCCCAAGGCACCGGAGTGGGTACTGCTCAAGGAACGAGCAGTGACGAGCGCAGTCCACCAACTCTTGTTTCCGCGAGCCTCCCCAAGTTCGTGGCGATGACCTGACGTAGTGGCACTCGAGGCGGCTGAATTGGCGGCTAATGCAGCCTAAAGCTCTGCGCATATGGTTCAGGAACTTGTATCCGAGGACAGCGTCAGACAGCGGGATGAGGTTCATGAACTCCAACATGTTGGCGAACTTGTACTACCTTGCCCAAGGGCAGCGACTTTCCATCGTGGCCCAATTCCCATCGCACCAACCTTCAATATGCCCGTCCATGCACGGAACGACGGTCATCCAAGGGTCCTCGTCGAAGTCCTCTGCGGTCGCTCCGTGGATTGTTGTTACACCGTTAAAATACCACACGGATCTCGCGCAAGGAGAAAACGGTTCTGCCAAGCGAATGTGCGTCTCGGGACTCATGGTCCGTGGTGTCGAGAAGATCGGCTCCATGATTCGTGGTGTCGAGAAGGTCGCCTCCATTACACACCCTACACACCACGCGCACATACCAAACGATACACACGGGCACATTGACACTATTGAACATAGTTGGCGAACGGGAACTGTCGTGGCCACGCCCACATGCAGTCGTCAAGACATTCACTCAAGCGGATTGCTCGGGGTTCAGAGCACAAGTGCGAGTGAACTCGCAGTTAGATGGAGAGCCAGGTGGTCACACCACTGAAGTGGAATGCTCGGGGTGCACACAGCAAGTGCGAGTGAACTCGCACTTAGATGGAGAGATAGGTGCGCACACCATGAGCTCATGTGTGTAATGTATAAGGAAATCGGCGTGCAACATCCGTTCAAAACTTTCACTTCTACCGATGATGACATGCCGGTGTGTACATGCGTTCATTCAAAGTTGGAACAGGCGACCCGAACGTAAGACACTGCGGCGCATCGACTGGAGCGTCTTCCGCGAACATGAAAATATATTTCTTGCGAACGAACCCGGTCCTTCCGGCTAGAGACCTGCCTATAGCATCCCATATAGAGGACGCTTGAGCTTCAACCTCATGCCATGCGTCCACATCGTCCACCTTACCCGTGATTACCAAATCCCATGTCTCTTCCAATTCTATTGTGACCAAACCGATCCCGTCTTTCCCGAGGTGCAACTCATTCCTGGACACGTAGACCACAGCGTCAGTCAAGGTCCTATTCCGATTCGAACACGCGACGCAAAGGACCCTAGATAAGAATAACTTTCCGAGACGCAATCTAACGCAGCAGTAGGAAACTGCTCGAGGCAACAGCCCTGGAGAGCGCAATGGGTACTGATCAAGGAACTCGGAATGTCGTGCACAGGCAAGCAACTCGTGTTTCAGTGAGCGAGACCATGTGCGAGGCGAAGCAGTCACGACACTGCAGGCCAACACATTTTGATGACGAGGAATATTCAGCTTTGCACTCAAGCAACGACACCGAACTGAACCCAGCACAGCTCTAGGCACGGGAATGAAACTCCCAAACTCGCACATTTTAGCGAACTTGTAGTCGTCCGCCCACAGACACTCCTTGAGCATTTTGGCCCATTCATGCTCTTTCCACGAGTCCAGGGGAGCATTAGTGAACGGGGGAACCTTCATCCAAGGATCACACTCCATCTCGTATCTTGTCGCACCGTCAGTAACAGGGGAGTTTCCACTGCCAGAGACGCGCAGCGAGCATGGGGGAAAAGGGTATGCCATGCGCTCACGCCAATCACCCAGGATAATCAACTCCGACATGGCCATCGCGATCGGCAAATGCCCTGCAGGCTACAAAAAAAAAAAAAAGCAAATGCTTTCACCCAGCTCACAGGGAAAAAAAATAACCATGCCCCCCAAGGACGTCCGTCGAAACTCTGATGACGGGCGTCTTGTTGAACACGACCACCACCGCACGGCCGCATTGTAGCCAGCCGGACGAGAGGCACATCAACGGGCATGGCAGGAGAGAGAGAGACAGAGAGAGAGAGATCTACCCTCGAACAACGAGTCAATTCGACAGAGCACCGTAAGGAAGTGTCAAACAGCACTACATGTATGCCACGCCGAGCAGCCATGGGCACGTATACAAGCAATGGAAGTGATCACGAGCCCTCTGCATCGGTTGAAATGACCACCTTCAAGAAGTGCCAAACAGTTGGCGGGCTCAGGTCTCTAGTGCTAAAAGCATTGTTAGGGGACCTTGCGACAGAACTTCTTGGCGTAGCACTAGATGCTCACCAAACAGTTTTGGATGTTGATCGTATGGATACATCATATAATGCTTACAAGCAAGCAGCAGCTGATTGCAGGACCTTCTATCCGGTGTGGATCTTTGAGAGCAGATTTGACGCAATCCACCGTTAGATCCATTCCGGCGAGGGGGACCTGCCATTCCGCCGTTGTTTATTGTACTCATCATGTGGGAATCGACGACGTGAGGAACCGACAATGAACATTCTTAGGGGACTTTGCGACTATGTTTGGAAGTGATTGGCGTAGCACTAGATGCTCACCAAGCAGTTCTGGATGTCGGTTATATCGACACATCATATGATGCCTTACAAGCAAACTGTGGTCGGATCTCGGCCACCATCCCCGGTGTGGATCTATGAGAGCAGATTTGACGCAATCCACCGTTAGATCCACATCGGAGAGGCGGACCGGTCATCCTGACACTGTTCAGTGTAGTCATCATGTAGGAGTCGACATCGCAAGAACCCGACGATGTTCCAATTGGGACGTGCTCTTGTTTCGTGATGTGCAGGTGCTTACCGGCGGTTCATTCGATCCCCTCCTTGACATGAATATTTATTTTTATCGAAAACATGCATGCATCCCATCACATGAATATGAGAGATCGAAACATTTGCAAGGTCACCGTTGCGGAAGTCAGGAGAAAAGGAGAGAGGGAAACATTTGCACGTTGCCTGTTGTTTTTATAAAGGTCAAGTTGATGCAATGTGCGATGGAATTGCTCGGCGTTCACACCAGAAGTGCGAATGAACTCGCACTTAAATGGAGAAGCAGGTGCGCACACCATCAGCGCGATGATTTAATATGCAAATGACAAGATACATATCTATTCCTATAAGTAACTCTTGTCATCGCGAAAATGAACGGTTTGTCGAAATTGTTACCTTAAGCAAATATGGAGGTTGGTTTGTCATTTGCATATTACCCAGTGTCAGGTTCGTATAAGCAAATATGGACGTTGGCTTGTAATTTGCATATTAACAAGTGAAAATGTCATCAAATCTTTGTGTGGAGAAGATACATATCCATTCCTATAAGTAACTCATCGCCTTTAAGTTGCCTAGTGTATTTCTAACAGGTGAAGTTGCACACCACAAGGAGAGTTTCCATAAATCATTCAACGCAAAAAAATCATTCAATGGCAAATTGCAAAGTGCACAGAGGCGTTTTCAAAAACAATTCAATACAAAATTGCAAAGTACACGAAAATTTTTCAAAATTCATTAAGTACATGGAGCCTTTCCAAAAATCATTGAAGGACACGTTCTAAGGCACATGTAGGCATTCCAAAAATCATTCCAGCCCACGTCGTATAGTCTACATGACATGCCCTTATCTACATGAGACGCTTCCGTACAATCTATATCACTCCCCCTCTTTGCCACAAGCCAAAAAGTCATGCATTACACATGAAACAAACCCTACCTCTAGTACGAACATGTCGAAGACCTACACGAAAGTTGATTCGAGCCAAAGATCTACACAAACGCTGATTCGTGCCGAAGTCCTGCATTAGACAAAAGGTCATCCGAACCCGACACGATGTTCACCTTCCTACACAAGTCTCAGACAGAAGCTCATCCAAGCCCGACATGATGTTCACAACGTGATCCAGTCAGACCCACTGCAAAAGGAGTGAGGTGATAAATGGGAGTCTATTCGCATATAGAATCCGAATATCCTGAGACGATGAGTATCTTCGTAGCATGTGTCGGGTGAAAAGAGTTAGTACGATCTTCATGGTAGTAGCATGTAGAGTCTTCGAGTAGCCTCCCGCGATCGTCGTCGTTGCGCTCGTTTATGTTGAACTCGATTAAAAGGACTTGGTTTGGGAATTCGGGCCTGAAGATCTGCTTCGATATTTGGCAAGTCGTGCATGAGTATATCTCTTAAAACTCGGTTCAAATTGCTCCAGTGACGGATTTGGAACGGACAACAGTTTCCCCAGAACGGGGGAGTGTCATCATCTTCTCTCACGCCGGATACAAGGAATAATTCTTCATCCAAGCACGAGGCGATATGCATGATGAAGATCGATAAGAAAAACGTAATGGCAGGCGCACAACCTTCTCTCATTCTACCGAAAGATGTGCTGGTTACGTACGAATAATACAAAGAGCTTCTCAATTCCCCTTCGGACGCAATGTAGAAATCAATTCTGAAGACGGGCCTGTTCGGAAGCATGGCCATCACAATGTACTGAAAAGTTGGGGTAGGCAGGGGAGAAATAGACGGCTGGACACGAGCGCGAATGTCTTCGGGGACCGGAAGGTAGCGGTATCTGGGAAGGCCAATGTTGCCAAACCACTCTAAACCATAAATATTCTCAGTTGCGGCAACAAATGCACTTCGCAGTAGCCGAGGTCTCTGACAATGACCGTCCCACTGAAACTTCCAGACGATATCCAACATCAGAAGAGAGAACAACACCCTTGTCATGTTCGGAGAGATGGGTAAACGGCGAAGTTGAGACTGTCTGATGTTGGCAAAGTGCGAATGAACTCGTAATTAGATAGACAATTTGTCATGCAACGGGGTATACCGAAGGAGACGGGGCATGATGAACGAGAGATAAGTAAGGGGGCCAACATGGAATTCAACGGTCTGTAAACATATAGTGCAAGTCTATTCGCACTAGAGAAAATACGAAGCAACTAATTCAGAACGCCGCTAGTGAAGATGTAGATGTCCAACATCGCAGTAAGGACAATCGCACACATATCTCGTCTTCCCTTTGCGCAGAGTCACTTCTTGAGGTCCGGAGGCTGAATAATCCAGATGACGGTAAACAAATCGCAATTCGTTGTCCCTATGTTCGACTGCAAAATTTATTTCGTCGCAGCTATCGAAGAGGTAGTGAAGTTGTTGGTGCACCAAACAGTCAACCCGCAAATGCAGCTCATCTTTGAGTGCTTGATCTATGGCGAGCCTGTTTTTGAACCATGCAAGGGAACCAGTAGGGCCGGATGTGTGAAACGCTTGAAAAGAAGTGAGCTTGACATCGTGAAATTCCTCCCTTGCGAGAAAAAAAACTCTCATTTGTCGACCATCCACCTTCACGACAATGAAGAGCGTCACGACGGTGGTGCCTCGATTACACACCCTCGCTCGACCGAAGAAGTCTATGATCAGCGGCGCCGACTTCATCGGTTGGCCAAGGCAAAACCAGGCACACAGTTTTTGATGCAACTTGTCCAACGACGCCCACTTAAGTTTCTCACATAAAATGTGCCATGCTTCAACCATCTTAGAAGTTTGGACGGGTTCCTCTTCAATGGGTTCCCTCTTCATAAGTGATTCCAACCAGTTAGGGTATGCCTGTACATCCTTCATCAGAGAGTACAGGTACCAAAAGTTCGACCCTACATCACGGCAAATCGGAAGTTGTCCTTCTTCCGCACTTTGCGACGAAGGGATTTCCCCGTCAGGGGCAACATCATCTTCGGCGTGCAGGTAGTCACGGTCCAGACCAGAGCGTCCAATGTCTTTCCAAATGTTCTTCGACAAAATGATTAGATCGACATCCGGCGCTGAGGACTTCCTACTCTGCGACGAAGTCCCGATATCCATTCTGCATCAGCGGAGAAACGCAAGGAAGCGCGTCAGTTGCGATTCTCGCAAGTGCATAAGAAAAAAATACAGGGAATTTATATGCACAAAAGGGTTCGATAATTGGTAATTGGTTCGCACATCGCAAGAGAGCGCAAGTTTTATAACCGCCGTCCAATGTCGACTTATTTTCTACACGTCATTCATGTGGGTCGATAAGTGAGAGTAGCTTCGCACTTCGCAAATCAGCGCAAGTCCTGCAACCGCCGATGACGATTGGAAAATGAGTGAGAGTAGATTCGCACTTCGCAAGTAACGCAAGTCCTGCAACCGTCGCTTAATTTCAACTCATCTCCAACACGTCGTTCATGTGGAACGGTCAGACTACTCTGTTATTGGGGACCATTTTTCTTACAGGTATTCAGCATGTCCGTTGCGACAGTACGGGCAGTCGTACACATAACGGGCCGTCGACAGACGATATTCCTCCTCTCGAAAAACATTCTCTAAGTTGTGGTCCCTATGTTCCAGTCTCCAGAAAATCTCGTCACAGTTATCGAGAAGGTAGTGCAACTTAGAGTGTACCAAACAGTCGACTCTGGAGTTGAGCTCCTTCCTTAATGCCGCATCGTGCGACAACCGATTTATGAAGCGTCCGAGCGCACCCTCGTCCGTGGGGCTGCGAAACGCTTGCACAAAATTGAGGGCGACTCCTCGGAACTCCTCCCTTGCAATGAAAAGCGCTTTCATCTTTCGACTGCCAACCTTCACGGTCGTGAACAGCGTCACAACCGTCGTGTTACGGTTGAATACCCGAATGCGACCGTAATAGTCTATGATGGCCGGTGCAAAGTGCGAACTAACTCGGAGTTGTCTCACATAGCAGGTCATCGCGACAGGTGTCCATCCTCACAG